GCAGTTGTTAAATGAGCAACAGGGTTGGCTTCCCCGTTTTTCACAGTTATGACCTTTGCAGCATCCAGACTCATATTTATGACGGTTACAGTCTCCTGGGTTCATTCGATCCCTTTTTGCTGACTAGCGAAGTCAGTGAGGGGGGGAAACCAGATTCACTTAACGACTGGGCTGCTAACTTTACCAACCGCCGTGATTCACTTAACAACCAAGGCAAGGAAGGTCCTAAAATGGGGCAAAAGTCCTTTAACAAACGTCTCGCTCAACATCAGAAATGTTGGGGTTCCATTGCGGTTGTAAGCCGAGGACTGCCGGTAATAAATACCTTTTTTTCTCCCTGCCTGATCCAACAAAATATCAAACTCCGTGTTTACATCTCCAAGCGAAAAGGAACTCTCTCTTGTAAAGATCTTGTAAAGACTTTTTAAAAGACTTTTGATTCACATTTGGAAAGCTGCCAGGAGCCAGAGTTCTTGTGCTGGGTAAATATCTGATTTTTGTAAAACAGGGTTTCTATTTTTCCATGCGCATGAAATGTTGAAGTATTATTTTCAAGGGGACAAAAAAAAAAATCGCACTAACGTTTGGGGAGATATATATATATTTTTTTGCTCCTTGTAGCTAATCTACGAAGCTGCAGCATACGCTGAAATTCATTTAACGTATTGTAGGAACAATGAGTTTCTGACAGGCTGCTTCCCGGCAACACGTTTTCGTTCCCCACCTTCCTCGTGTTGTTTTAAAATCTTCCTTTTTAAAAAAAAAAAAAAAAAAAAAAGCAACATAGCTTAACACGAGAGCCAGAGGAAGCATTTGGCGGAAAACCCGTAAATGATCATCTGTGGGATTTCACACCGCTTTCGTAAAGTTCTGTTATTCTGTTCGATTAGCGCACAGCAAACGGGAAGGCGGCTCTTCCACTTTCTATCGGTGGCCTCGAGTGCTTGAAGACTCTTTACGACCACAGCCCACACCCCCCCAAATTTTAAAAGGTTATCAAATCAGTGGGTCCACAAGAATGACTTGATGTATGACCGTCACGACTTAAGGACTGAGGTGAGCAGGCTTCATTACGGTCGTAAGTCTGAGGACTACCTGGTGTTTCGTGTTTTGTATGCTTGAAGACTCTTTACGACCACAGCGCCCCCCGCCAAATTTTAAAAGGTTATCAAATCAGTGGGTCCACAAGAATGACTTGATGTATGACCGTCACGACTTAAGGTCTGAGGACTACCTGGTGTTTTGTTTTTTAAGTTAGAAAAAAAAAATGGCACCAGGCCTTCCACCGAGATAATTCCCATCTTTCGCTCCCGTTTGCGCATAAACACACACACACACACACACACACAGAGTGATTCCTGAAAGAGGAAACGGTTCAGTTTATGGTTAAAGGCGGCTGAGAAACGTGTTTTAAAGGCTCGGTTCTTTCCGCAGTCGGCAAACCGGGGCAGGTAGAGAGGTCCTCAGCCGGCCCAGGTCAGAGGGTTCTTCCCATCAGTTCTGTGCATTTAAAAGCAGAAGGGGGAAAAACTCTATCATGCCTTCCCGGCAAAGCCCCCCTCTAGGAAAAGCCGAAGGAAAACTCGCTCACCCTCTCTTCCAGGCGGTTCAGCTGCTCCTTGTAGTAAGTCTCGTGTTTCTTCAGCTCCTTTTCCTTTTCTTCTAGCTGTTTGGCCTGGAGAGGAGAGGTTGAGGTTGAGGAGAAGCGAGGAGGGAAAGGGAGAGGTGAAAGGAAGAAGAATGGAAGGAAAGGAGGAGAGAGAAGGGAGGGAAGAGGTGGAAGAAGAATGGAAGGAGAGGGGAAGAGAGAAGAGAAGGAAGGGAAGAGAAAGAGAGAGATGGAAGAAGAATGGAAGGAGAAGAGAAGAGAAGAGAAGAGAAGAGAAGAGAAGAGAAGAGAAGAGAAGAGAAGAGAAGGAGGGAGAGATGGAAGGAAGAGATGGAAGAAGAATGGAAGGAGAGGAGAAGAGAGAAGGGAGGGGAGGGAAGAGAAAGAGAGAGGTGGAAGAAGAACGGAAGGAAAGGGGAAGAGAAGGGAGGGAAGAGAAAGAGAGAGATGGAAGGAAGAAGAATGGAAGGAGAGAAGAAGAGAAGAGAAGGAGGGAGAGATGGAAGAAGAATGGAAGAAGAGAAGGGAAGAGAAGAGAAGAGAAGGAGGGAGAGATGGAAGGAAGAGATGGAAGAAGAATTGAAGGAGAGAAGACAAGAGAAGGAGCGAGAGATGGTAGGAAGAAGAATGGGAGGAGAGAAGAGAGAAGAGAAGGAGGAAGAGAAAGAGAGAGATGGAAGGAAGAAGAATGGAAGGAGATAAGAGGAGGGAGAGATGGAAGGTAGAGATAGAAGAAGAATGGAAGAAGAGAAGAGAAGGAGGGAGAGATAGAAGGAAGAATGGAAGGAGA